CTGAGGGAAGGGGGGAGGAGGAAGTGACGTCATCAGAGTGCGACGGCATCAAGGTGCGACGTCATCAGGATGCGACGGCGCCGTAACCATAGCTCTTATAGACGCCATAACCCCCATAGCACCCATAGCACCCATAGCACCCATAGCACCCACAGCACCCATAGCACAGATAGCACCCACAGCACCCATAGCACCCATAGCACCCACAGCAAACATAGCACCCATAGCACCCATAGCACCCATAGCACCCATAGCACCCACAGCACCCACAGCACCCATAGCACCCATAGCACCCATGGGACTCACTGCCGCCCATCCCATTCTCCTCCCGGCCAGGAAATATCCGCTGATGGAGCTGCGGGTGCTGCGCCTGAGGGACTGCACCAGTATAAACCAGTAAGGACCAGTATGGACCAGTAAGGACCAGTATGGAGCAGTATGGACCAGTAAGGACCAGTATGGACCAGTATGGAGCAGTATGGACCAGTATGGACCAGTATAAACCAGTAAGGACCAGTATGGACCAGTATGGACCAGTATGGACCAGTAAGGACCAGTATGGACCAGTATGGACCAGTAAGGACCAGTATGCACCAGTATGCACCAGTAAGGACCAGTAAGGACCAGTATGGACCAGTATGGACCAGTATGGACCAGTAAGGACCAGTATAAACCAGTAAGGACCAGTATGGACCAGTATGGACCAGTATGGACCAGTAAGGACCAGTATGGACCAGTATGGCACCAGTAAGGACCAGTATGGAGCAGTAAGGATCATTATGGACCAGTATGGACCAGTAAGGACCAGTATGGACCAGTATGGCACCAGTAAGGACCAGTATGGAGCAGTATGGAGCAGTATGGAGCAGTATGGAGCAGTATGGAGCAATATGGATCCGGTATGGACCAGTATGGACCAGTATGCACCAGTACAAACCAGTAAGGACCAGTATGGACCAGTATGGACCAGTAAGGACCAGTAAGGACCAGTATGGACCAGTATGGAGCAGTATGGAGCAGTAGAGTCCCATATGGACCCATAGGGACCCATAGAGCCCCATAGAGCCCCATAGAGCCCCATAGAGCCCCATAGAGACCCATAGCGACCATAGAGACCCATTGTGCCTCACAGCGCCCCATAGATCCCCACAGAGCCCCACAAAGCCCCACAGAGCCCCATAGAGCCCCATAGAGACCCCATAGGGCCCCATAGAGCCCCATAGAGCCCCATAGAGCCCCATAGAGACCCCATAGAGCCCCATAGAGCCCCATAGAGCCCCATAGGGCCCCACAG